AAGCAGCCTTATGAACTTGCTGGGAAAGAGTAAGAGGCTCAGCGCCGGTAACAGAGTCGGTCAGCTGTTGAGCAGCCTCCTCCATCTCGGCGGCAACCTCTGCCTCGAGTTGCTGAGATACGGCGGCAGGGTGAGTAGGCAGGCCTTCGGCGGTGCGCATGCCCATCTCGCCTTCCTGGGCCCGAAGGGCATGGAACTGGCGAAGACGCTCCTCGCGAGCGTGCTGATCAAAGGGATCATCTTCGTGGGCCTTATCAAAGTCTTCTTGCTCTTGCTGGAGCTGAGCGCGATCCTGAAGCATCTGAGTAACCTGCTGGGACTGCAAGAAGTTGTCGGGCTGGCGGCCAGAGAAGGAACCAGCACTGCCAAAGGCAAATGGATCCTGGCGGCTGACGTTCAGGCGATCAAGGAGGGCGGGAAGTTGATCTTGGCTGCCGAAATCCGTTCCCAGCATTCCAGGTCCCACGTTCAAACCGCCCTGTCTCGGTGCAACACCATCGAAGAATCCAGGGACGCCTTGGGACTGCTGTTGCATGGGAGCCTGGATCGGGGATGGCTGGTAGCCAACAGGCGAAGTGATGCTTGAGAAGCTGGGCTGGCTCTGGAGACTGTGTGCGCTAGACTGATGTTGCAGCGGAGGGTTCATGGAGGACGAGGGGGCACCAGGAGGAGCCATCTGCTTCATAATGGCCTGCTGCTGAGCCAAGTGCTCCTTCTGCCGAGCCATCAAGTACTGTTCTTCCTGCTTGCGTCGTTCAAGTGCATTCTGCTGTTCGGCTGTCAAGGTAGTGCCGAAGCTTGGGAAACTACCCGGGAAGGGAGGCTGAGCAGATCCGGCGGTCGTGTTAGTCCACTGGGCAACGGTCGGTTCTGGGCCATGAGGAAGGCCAATCTGGGGCACAAGGAATGGCTCGCGTGAGTTCCCAATGCGTCTTACCAGCTGAGCTAACGGCTCAAATTCGGTATCCTCAAGCTTCTTGATTTGCAGGTCTGGGCTGAAGAAGCCCGCCTTGAACCAATCATGCATCTCAAGCCCAGTCCACGGGCCCTGGATATTGCCTTGCGGATCCCGGTAGATCCAACGCATCCTGTCCGGCATAACCATAGTACGCTGCTGGGAAGCAGGGATTCCTGCGCCAGGAGTTTGACTAGAAGGAATATCATGACCAGCCAGGTTGGGGATAGAGCCAACGGCCGAGACGGGTGTTTGCGAGGCAGGTGTTGAGCCAGGGTGGCTTGCCTGACCCGTCTTGTCGCCTTGCGAGGGATCGAGTCCATCTAGGCCCACAGAGTCCGGCCTTCCTTGCTCGTCCTGCATGGAAGAGAAGAGGGCACCGAGTTTGCTTGATCGGCCGATGCTTCCAGTGCCAGTCATACCGGCATGAGGGCTAAATAGACCGCCTGCACCGAGGGTTGACAAGCTAGGAGACTGAAGATCGCCCATAGAGCCAAAAATGGGGTCACCGAAACCACCACCAAACGCAGAACGCTCGCGAGTGGGCGTTCCCACGGCAGCACCAGATGACCAAGTCGAGGCTCCACCCAGGGAAGATAGGCCGCCCAGACCACCGAGACTAGGGAAAGTGCGGTTGGCATTGACACTGGAGTTCTGGCTGCGGTCTACAGTGGGAAGATCAATTCCTGAGCCCACCCGTCTCATCGAGCCGAAGGGGTTGGAGGGATCCCGAAGCCCGCTAACTCCTGGATGCTGGGCCTGCTGGATATCCGACCCGTCCGTGTCGACATCCTCAGGTTCAGCACGTTCGCCATGACGGTCACCATGCGGGCTCTGGTAAGGATTAGTGTTGGTTGGACTGGTTGGCTCGTGACCCTGGAGCAGGCTGGGAGTTGGGTTCCGCGAGTTCTCCTGGCTTTGCATCAACTCCCGGAATCCAGGAATGCTGGAGGTCATCCCGAATGCGCCAAACCCGAGGTCAGACTGAGAGGGACCTTCAACATCCTGGGAACCACCAAGAGCGGCGCTGCCACTGCGAGGCTCGTCGAACGGATTAGTTTCGCTTCGGTTGGCACGAGTCTTGACAGAATCCCCCCAGGGCGATTGCGAACGCCCATCACTATCATTTTCAGCAAGACGTTCAAGGTTGCCCGTGGGCTTTTCCTTAGCGGAGCCGGCCATATCCTCGGAGCTATCCTTAGATAGCAAACCCTTGAATCTGCTTTCTCCGCGAAGACTTCCATATCCTGGTTTCTTTTCAGCCGTGGGAGTGCCGGATGCGGAACCAGAACCAAGAGAGAACGCCCCAAAGGCACCCATCGGAGAGAAATTGGCATTATGCGAAGCCGAACCCCAAGGGGAGCCCGGTCCATTAACGCCCGTATTGATGGGATTAGTGGAGCTGCGCTTCAGAGAACCGAAGGGAGAAGCAGGATCCTCCCTACTATCCTTGGCCTTCTCATCCACCTTCGGGTTGGGTTCTCGAAAATCAGTTTTGCGACGCAACAGGGCGGGTGGAGGGGTAGAGGTATTGGCCTCATCGCGGAAAAATCGGGAGTTGGAACCGGTGGGAGACATAGGGTTGCCAATCGATTCTCCCGTTTCCCGGCGTCGGGGACCCGGGCGACCGGCAGTTGGGGATGAGGTGGTGTAGTTATTCATATGGCCCTGAGGATAAGAGATCGACGATTTGCGGCCACTGGTTCCGGGGATGACATTTTCCTTCGCCGCATTTGTGGGGGGTGGCTTGAGAGGGGAGTTGACTGAGGCGGCAAACATCTATGAAAATTTTTAGTAACAGCACTCACCACACCCGAAAGTACGACACCAAACGAACCTCTCTCTCGTCCTCCGTCATACCGGTGATTCCAAGGGGCTCCACTTGGCCGCCATGATCCCAACAAACCTCGGGCCCTGCGGAGTTGTTCTTGTGGTCATCCCGCTTCCCCCACGCTCCATTCGCAGGAGCTGACACAGTGTGGGGATCCCAGTCGGCCACGAAGTATTCCTCCACGTTCTTACTCAAGGTGCCCTCCTCCCGCTGCAATTTATACAGCTCTAGAAGTTGATCCTTGGAGTACCGGGCGTCCCCATTCCGTGCAATGCTAGAAGAATTTGAGCTCAGGTGTGGAGGGATATACGCGCCGCCGGCCGTGATTGTCGAAGCAGAAGCAGGCTGGCTACTATCCCTATGTTGAGAGGGGGTGGTAGCGACAGAAGGACGGCGGAAGGTCTGCGTAGCTCCATTCATGCGGTTTCGAGACCTAGTAGGCATGGAAGGTTAGAATCGGACATATGGAGCTCAAAACATTGACGGTCACGGCATCAAGGAACGATATTGCACCTCCTCTGTTAATCAACAGCTAATGGAGGGGTTTTGGAAAGGTGAAACAGTGTCTGCGTACCATTCTCCGCTAGTCGAACCATCCCCCCTCCGGCTGGGGTCCTGGGTGTTGCCGGCAGCGGCCGAAGCGAAACTCGATGGAAGTGGTGTAGGCATTGTGGTAAAGAGGCTTGTATGGTCGGATGTTGATCCCCCACGTAAAAACCGATTCTAAGATAGTTATCGCGAAACCTGTGGCGGGCTTGCAAGAGAATGTGTGATGCGAACGGATAAGTCGCAGGACACGATGGAAAATTGGTTTGAGTTGAAGGATGACAGCAAGGAGCTAGTCAATCGAATAAGTGGAGAGCTGTAAGAGAGGTAATGCAGATATGCGAGCGCCAGACTAACAAGGTCGAGAAAGAGAGAGATCGAGTTTCGATTTCGCTTGGGAAGTTTCCTGGAGCAAAAATGATTAAGCGGCGGCCGTGGCAATACGCGTGCCTTTCTGTAAATACACGGTATTGGATTATTAGTGGTCGCGTGATTTGCCGCCTAAAAGCGGTGAATATAACGTATTTGGTGGAAACCCAATTACATACCGCCAAGAGCAGGTATCCGTTACACGCACAACACTGTGTCTTCATACTCTGCCCAATGTACCTTATACCTCGATTTACACTATTCTGCCCAATCCTGTGTAGCAAAGAAAAGAAACGTTATATAAAAGATGTGAACGGAGTTTCCAAATAACCTGAATTGATTTTAAGTCTAGTTTTCACATTTTCCCTAACCTAAAAGACTATAGATAGCAAATACGTATGCAGTTAGGTGGCTTGACGCAAACAGAGAGATGTGGAAGTAACATGATAGACGTGTATTTCCCATAAAGGCCACGCTCCATTTTTGATTGGGAGTTCAGCTGCTTTCAAGCAGTTAACAAGTTAGGGATTGAAATTGGGCTTTGTCTAAGAAAATACAAAGGAGCATTTAAACGTTCCACAAATGCAATAGAGGGGGTCGAAATGCATCTACTATCCCTTTTTGCCCAACCTCTGCAATGCTGGATGCCTTGTCTGAAAAAGATTCAACGGTCTCAAAAATCTTTAGATTTGGCCTGGAATTCGGTTGGATTAAGAATCCCATTATCTGCTGTGCCTGTCAATAGGGCTGGATCATTGTATCGCTCTTTGACGTCTACTCTGTCTCGTTTGTCCTTTGATACTTCTGCTTCATTATACAGATACAATGCTTTCTGAGGTGTGTTCACTCTTAAGAGTAACACAGAGACAACACCAAATGACACAATGAATGTCTTAGTCCAAATTGATATGATGGGCTCAGTCTTAGAGCTTCACGGATGTTATCAAGACTCTATAAAGGTGACATCCCCTTCGCCGGCAATTCTCTCTTTACAGTTCTTTTGCTTCAAGACAATCCAGTCAAGTTTCCCTGAAATATACACTTTCTTGCATAACAAAGGTCATTTTCTGTCTGTGTTCCGGCATCCAAGTGCTCATCGTCTTTAATCAAAGAGTATGAAGCAGTCCAGATTCACTGGCCAAACTAAATCTAACGATACAGAATTTGGTTGGTACTTCGCTGGAGAGCCAATGGACAAGAGACACTCTCGAAGCGGCCGAATCAGGCTCGTTCGTTACAGACCTGAGATAGAAATATGTGCCCACAGTCGATGCCCGTCGCCATCTCCCATTCCAGAAAATGTACCTTGCCCCTGCGGCAATAGATGCGAGGTTCACCCCCACAGGACACGCTCCCCATCTCCCAGCAACACTGATTCCTCTGGTTACGAGGCTAGTAGATGCTGCGGAGGATGCCATGCTATCAGACGCGAGTCCGGGTCTTCGCCGCAGGTGGAGAAAGCAATCTGCACTTGCAACAATCGGTGTGAACGTCACTCGCGCGAACCACGCCCCATTACACCAAGCAGCAGTGGATATTCTAGCTCTGAATCAGACAAAAAACGCCATGGTGGCCGTCACTCGACAAGACGCGAGCGTCGTTCAACCAACACACGTCCCACCACTCCAACCAGCAGTGATTTTTCAGACTACGAATCGCCCAGAAGACGCCGCACCGGTCACCGCACCCAAAAGCGCGAACCAGAGTACCATCCACAGGTGGAGAAATGCCAATGTGAGGTCCATGCAACCCCTCTCAACACACCTGCCATGACAGGCCAGAGGTACAACTCCCCGCGTGCGTCGTTCGCAACAGCACCACGCAACAGTCCCATAGTCCAACACCACTATCATCATTGTCGCAAGGCGTCTTATTGCGAAAGCCACCCGGAAGCCTGTCGAGCTTCGATTCTTGGACTTTCACCGGTGCAGAGAGCGACACCGACTCCGACACGCTCTCCTCGGCCGAGTGAAAAGTCTCGTCACAGCGCGCGGGTCAAGTCAGACCCAAAATGCACTTGCAGGCGGTCTGTTTCTCCAAAGCAGATGCCTTCCCCCAAGGCTGCATCCCCCAGGCCTGATGTCCAGCATTGTACCTGTTTTCAAATGGATGGGTACTACACTGATGACTCTCACTATTATGATGACACTACTTCCGAGGCCTCTATTCAGGCCACGTCTGGCTACGGCAGGGATGTGGACGAGTCATTTTGTGTTTATCATCACCGCTGCCGTCCAAGATTTGAGTGTGGTCTTGGCTGTGTGTGCGGGAGGAAATGAACTGGGTACTCTGTATTCGATTTCAATAGAAGGACGATCTATGCTGTTTTCCCTTGCTGTTTTCTGTTTCTTTCTCTGATCTGTGGCCTGTCTGAGTTTGGATATCAATTCCACTTATGGAGAGCTTTGTTGGAATGACTGTCAATTTTGTGTCAGACGTCTAGAAATCCTCTTTGTTCTTTTTTTTTTCTTTGTCTGTCTAACTTGCGGCTATAGATGTATTGGGGCACTTGTTCAATTCTAGCTTACAAACATATTCATATGGTATGTTAAAAGCTTCAAGTCTGATACATACGTATTTCCTATGCCATAGCTTCTGCTTCTGCTTCTGCTCGCGGTCAAGGTGTAGGTTAAGTCCATCTGACTACGTGGTCAACAACTTCATCGAGCGTGATGTGAGTTTTATTGTCGCATGCAGAATGCCTCGGTGCCATTTTACTTTCACTTCGGTTTGCTTTCAGCAATCACTCATATTCAGTATTTAAAATAAACCTGACTTGTAATTTGCAAGTAAGACACTTCACCTCAAGAATTACCACAGATAAGGGCACATGATAACGATCATCACTTGGCTTCGTTGGCTTCGTTTTCATCTTCGCCATCTTGGACCCTCTTGTCTTGGCGACCTGCCGATATCCTCCATGGCAATATCGTCGTGGGCGGTAGTCGTATTAGCTGCAGCGGCATTTTTCGTCGCCTTCTTCAAGACCACAAGTTTAGCCTTCAGGCGGGCCCAGCGCATGCACACCGCGGGTACCGTTAAAGTGGCGCACACGAGAGCGGATGCGAGGGCGAGCCTTGATGCAGGCTTTGGAGTGGCCATGTTTGTAGGGTGGTTTGGGGTGATAAGAAGAGAATTGATGAGATGACTTGAAGTTGAGAGAAAGGAAGTTGGGATGTTTCAGTGTGTTCAGAATAGTAGTAAATAAGAAGACCGTGGTAACAGTAGAGAGGGAAGAGAGGGAAGAAAATGGAACCTGGGTATCTGTAGGAAGAAAGCGACCTCTGCGTCGTCGCTGGGTCGTTGCGTTTGATATGGACGCTACCAGCTAGGTACGAGTTGCCAGTCGCATTCCCAGCTCTGATGTTGCGTATAACATGAGTCGCTACTTGTGAATTGTCAGACCAAAGGGCACAAGCTAATCTATAAGCTACCTAGGTACTATCTTACAGTTCGATGGCCTCATCTAATAAACGAGATGCTGTCGAGTAGGACCATGCACGGTGGTTTTTGATGTGCCGAGTATGCATTTATTTGCCTTGCAGACCAGGCCTTTACCTTTAGCCCAGCTGGTTTATATTGATTGGGATACCATTCCCTAGCCTGAGAAAAGGCTAGACACTTTTGGTTGCATCTTGTGCCTGGTACCTACATAATTGATCAAGCTCAAGTTATCTACTCTTACTTTGATGGTTGGCTCTAGTAATGCCGTCACGCAAATGAGATGATAGTCTTATTATCAGTCACGTTGGTTTGTTGTTCAAAGATATATATTCCTAGAAAATGCAGAACTAGCAATAGATAACTAGGAGATCCCAACGAATCTAAATCAGCTCCTTCGACCTACCAGTGCACAGCACCCAAGGACTACAATGACGATGTAGAAACCATAAAAGGTCACTATATATATAGAACAGCAGCTACCCCACAACACCCTATGCTTGGCGATAGGCGAACATACTATGAATCTCGTTTTCGGTGGTTTGTTTAAGTTCAAGCATTGCGATCTGAGCTATATCAGGATATATTAGCACAGGTTCATTGAATTGTTCGATTATTCAACATGTGGTGGGCATTCGGCCCCAGACACGCAATTAACGAAACCTCGGCTATCGATTAGAATATCAATGATCGACATATTTAAACATCCCCGCACGAGCGCCCTGACTTTTATCAAGATCAATTCATTTTGATATCTTCATCTAATACATCCAAAATGTCCAAAGCAATTTACATATCGCCAATCGATGGCAAACCTGGCAAGCCGGGCCAAGTCTACTATCCGCTCTCCTTACGCACTATCCCCAAGCCTTCCCCGCAAGGGGGTGAGCTACTGGTGAAACTTACTGCCGCCGCACTCAACCACCGCGACCTCTTCCTCCGTCAACACCTCTACCCTGGCGTGACATTTGATGTGCCCCTACTCGCAGACGGTGTCGGTACCGTTGTCGGCGCTGGTCCGAACGTGCCCAGCCCAGAAAAATGGCAAGGCAAGCGGGTGATCTTGAACCCCGGTGCTGGCTGGAAGGATTCTCCTGATGGACCGGAGGATCCTGCTGGATACCGAATTATGGGAGGCACCAAGGTTTTGGATAAGGGCACGTTGCAAGAATATATTACTATCGAGTACTCGGAGGTCGAGGAGGCCCCTGAGCATCTATCTGATGCCGAGGCTGCAGCTCTGCCCCTGACGGGCTTGACGGGCTGGAGAGCTCTAATTAGCAAGGCCGGTGAAAGGAACTCTGGGGAAGGTGCTGCTATCTTGGTCACTGGCATTGGTGGCGGTGTGGCTCTGATGGTGCTTCGGTTTGCCGTTGCCAGAGGTGCACATGTTTTCGTGACCAGCTCGAGCCAAGAGAAGATTCAAAAGGCTATTGAGCTAGGTGCGGCCGGTGGTGTTAGGTATAAAGAGGATGGCTGGGAAAAGAAGCTGTTGGGTATGCTCCCAGCTGGGAAGAAGAACTTCGATGCTATCATTGACGGTGCCGGTGGTGATTCTGTTGAGAAATCTGTCAAATTGCTCAAGGTGAGTGCCACAACGGGACCTGAATTCAATTACGGATGAAAGTACTCACATTCCTAGGCTGGCGGTGTCCTCTCTGTCTATGGAATGACTGTCTCTCCTAAAATGCCATTCACCATGACTGCTGTCCTCAAGAACATCGACGTCCGCGGTTCTACAATGGGCTCCCGAAAGGAGTTCAGGGAGATGATTGAGTTTGTCAATGCTAAGAAGATTCGCCCTGTAGTGTCGCGGGTTCTGCAGACTGAGCTAGATGACTTGTCCGCAATTGACGGACTGTTCGAAGACATGAAACAGGGCACGCAGTTCGGCAAACTTGTGATTGAATTTGGCAAGTCTTCCGGCAGTAAGCTGTGAGAATATCCTTGCTACAATTCCCATGAAGTCATGATGCCTGTATGTACATGTGTACATATCAAATTGAGATACCTTGCAGCAACTACGAGTGTCCTTCGTACCTTCCTCCTCGGCCGCCTCACTTCACACATCACCACATTCTAACCTCTGTGCATTTTCAACATATCATCGCCACTTTTATCTCCCATAATCTCTTATTAGAACCCAAATCGAGTAACCGAATCTCGAATTCGCTCATTGTATAACAAATTCTTTCATTCATTTCCGATTCCACCACCGCCATGAACTCCAAGAGGGACCGCATATCCTCCCGACAAGTCTCTCGCTCCGTTTCTCGTGGAAATAGCCATATGCCTCGTACGCTGGACTCCCGCCATGTCCCAGAAGATTCGTGGGACGAAGGTAGTTTCCAGGTATTGTCGCATCGAAAAAGCAACGACCGTATGGAATGGTCCCGTTGAAACTGACAGTCAATACAGTCCTTTGACGCCACTCATTATGCCCTGCAAACTCTCAACAAGCACATTGAACGAAGACTCGCAAAGTTGCAAGCCAATACAGTCCGCCTGAAGCGTGAACTGTGGCTACTCCAGCGACATGTCAAAGAATTCCGTCATCCTCTTTTCGAGAACTGGGAAGCCGACATGCTCACCCGTCTGATCGAGGTCGCCCACGCCCATCAGCATAAGAAGTTACCCGGTGGTGTCGTGATCGGAGAGTCCTCGTTTGCCGAACGCGAAAATATCAATCATGCATACAGCATCGCAGCGAAGGCAATCCGCATGTCAACTCTTCGTAAACTTGGTCTGTCGGAAAATTATCATCAGGCTCTGCAGCGATATTCAGAGGTGAGTTATGGTGATCTCGATTGAACATACCTTGCCCTAGTCCCCTAACAAGGATCAGGTTGCTCCTTACCGAAGTATAAATCCCTTCCAGACCGAGTTCGCATTCGCCAAATGGCTGGTCGAAGTGCGATATGAGAGACCAGAACTGTATGGGTTCTGGTCCAAACTTTTCCCTGTCTGCTATGACCGCAGCGTCCAAGAGAGCGCCTCCATCTTCTAGAGGATTCCAGAGACTGACCTCATCATCCTGTCGTCTTGTTACGTTTCTTTTTCGCTATAGATGCGGGCCAAACATCCAAAAGGGATTGCTTAGTGGATACAATATTGCTTCTGTTGTTGAGAGATCTTCTCTTCCTACAAGTTTGTGGGTCATTATTCTGTGTTCAGACGTCTTTTGCGGTGTGCGGTTTCATTGTGTCTCATCTCAGCTCTCCATGTAGGTACCAAGCCTATTCTTATTTTTGGAGTGCCGAAATGCAGTCGCTGCTTTTTTTGGTCATTTGCTCCCGATGCACACACAGTATGACAGAGAAAGCTCTAAGCGAACTATGAGCTAGTAGATGATGTTTCAGTTTCCTTTGACGGCCAAAACCGAATGTATACACACACAGCCCTATCTGGCAACAGACTACCACCGTTGCATCAAATCCTAAGCCACATACCTATCACAGCTAGTGTTCACGGATCACTCTAATCCAACCAAACAGGTTAAGCCCTCTAGCGTGGCGAGCACTTTGTCCCATCATTCTGGTCGAACGGCTGAACGACCCAACGATCCGACGGCCGAACAATAAGCAACATGCGATATGCGATAAACCCCCATGCCTACGATCTCGAAAACCCTATTCTAGCAAGCATCCTCTATGACGCAGTGTCGAATTTAGCCGGTGTAGTAGTAACACAATAAAGTTCCCGCTCGCTAATAATAGCTCCTTTACACGGACAATATATTAAGCTTGATGCTAACTGCTAAGTACGAACTAGAGAGTGAGACAGCCCTAAGTGGTATCATGCACTCCCTCTTTCGACGTGTATCCACTGGATTAGATCCCGAAAAAAAAGGCGCAAAGTTAAAAAAAGAACAGGGATCGTACCATCCATAATTAGCAAAAATAAACATGTCGATCGAGAACACAACGGCACAGTAGCAGTGCGACCGAGAGTCCATTGGTACGGAGTACTCCGTACATGTCAAGCCTAAGTCGGGAAATGCGCTAACACGAGAAAAACCCCCCCAAAAATTTCCAAAGCACAAGAACCCTTCGGAACATTGCCGAGCGGATGAGTCGGGGGTAGAGACCCTGGAAAATGATAGGTACGATCCACGAGGTGTTGCCACTAACGTTACGCTTAACCATTATAGGATAGAGAAAGAAAACATATATCTCCCCTATATTTAACATAAGATACTTTCTATATTGATAGTGTACCATACATTTATAATCGCTACCAAGATAGATTGTTCTTTAGCAAAAGTTAATGGATTATAAGCGCGAAAATAGACCTCAGGCGGGATACCGGTAACTCCATACTACCCAGAATGGTTGCTGCCTAGCTTGGCACTAAAAATATGTACATTATGTAAGAGCATAATATCCACACTGGATAGGAACCTTGGAAAATGGCGGAAAGCGATGGATAAAAATCGGTTATGTAAGTCATTAATCATCGAAAGGATCCCGCGGGGGCCGCGGGCCCTGGGGCCCGGCGTACCAGATGGGGTAGGGTCCGATATCTGACCAAACAGACTACGTATGTTCTATGTTCGGCATTTGACATGGTAAACGGTAAAAGGGAGAATTATCGGAACTAAATGGATCACCGAGAACCCGAAGGTTGAAATGTTATATTCTATGTGATTGGTTGGGCTTTTAGCTTCAACACTCTCCACCAGAGATATTTCTAGTGGACACTATAGAAGCATATTATAGGGTCAACGTTCCATATAAACAACCATGGTACTTTCTTATTTTGTTGGTTAGAGTTTGGGTTGACACATTAAGATAAACCCTAGAAACTATGGAGTTTCACGTGTTTCATAGGTCCCACACGCTTGGGAATCGTGGCTCCATCAACTTGAAACCCATACGAGTTCGATGGTTTCGATCCACGACTTAATTGGGAGATCATGATGATCGCTTTGTTAGTGTCGATGGCTATTATAGTTTGGATTGTAATAGTCTATGGGAGCTACGGGGGTTTTTTGCCTATTAGGGCGTGGTGATATATAGCGTTGGTTGATAATATATATTTCTTTCGACTACAGCTAACCTTTTGAGTAAAAATTATATCAAAAGTAAGTTTGGTATCGCTATTATCCTTCGTACACAAATATAATATTGCATATGTTGTACGGAGTATGCTAAAACGCTTTGATCTCACCATCTGATCTCAGAATCTGCCCAAGCTTCGTATCCGAATCGGATCGTCGCAGAAGATCTCCGTGGCTGTCTCGCAGCCCCTGACTCAATAGCGCCTAAAGAGCTATACGTTATAAGCTGGGCGACTGTCGTCAGACTATGTTGTACTAAAAAAGTACCTAGCGTCGAAATTGTTTCACTTAAAATATAGATAACAAAAAAGGCAAAACTCAAAGGACACGGGAACTTGCATCAAACCCATGATAACCTAAAGTACTCAATTAAGGCACCCAAGATACTCAGTGGGATACTCCGTGGAATTCACTATCATATGGAGTATATTGTATATGCAGGGAACATGCCATCAGTGGAGAACAACCTAAGTCGGTACAAGATCGCCAGCGTTAGAGTTGAGGCGGTATCTTTTCTGGTTGTGTTGAAGACGTTATGCAATATAGGCTGAAGTGATGAGACAGGCTTCGCAATCCTTTTTCCTTCTCCACTGAAACATACGTGGTCGACATACGGAGTACATGGTTTCGATTCAGCTGCTGCGGGAAGAAGCATCGCTGATCCCGCCATACCTATGTAGACATGGAGATATCTATTAGCCAACCCTCTTGTATCTTTCCTGCATAAACGAAAAATTGTAATCGTGGCAAATTCCGATATCAAAATCGAGCCTAATTCTCTGCTGTCAGTCTTGACCGCAAGTCTATGGGTCTTGTCTTTTGTTCAAGGCTACGGATAGGCGGGCAAACACGAAGTCCCGCTGACAGCATGAGCCATACCCTCGGAGCCAGCATAGCCCACCGCCGATGTCCTATTCGTTCCATGGCTGAAACTGTTAACCACGTTTTTGATAGTCGCCGGAGAAGCTAAGTACCACAGGGAAAGGCGTTGAACCCTATTAGCGTTCGTCGTTCATTCCCGGGAAGCGCGGGCGATACGGAGTCCTCTTTTGTTCAGGACTTTTACCTTAAGCAGTAGCCAAGGTTAACGGTAGCATCGGGTCTCCACCGGTGTTTAACCTGTTACTCGTGAGTGGCTAACAAGGACAGAGCTAATGACAAGGAGCTCAGATATCCCGCCGCCATGGACCATCGACGAATGAGACTTCTCACCGGTGATGATCGTTGCAGGGGGTCAAAACAAGGAAAGTCCAAGGAAAGGCGTCGAAGACATGCAGTTGATTCTGGATTGTGATTCGCGGTCTTCGGTCACTCTTTCATCACAGATAGGGAGTGGCACCTGGTGCCACTCTATCGCCAAACTCCAAGGATACGGTATCCGACCCAAACATCGAAACCTAGTTCTCTTCACGATAGAGTAAAGATACCCGAGCAGCAATCTCTCTCTCTTCCTAGAACAGATAGAACAGGCAGAACTATAAGTGAACAGTCGAACACTAAGACCCAAAGCGGGTCCACCTCACATTCCTGGAACTGTGCAGACGAAACCCTCACGCAGACAAGATTTAGCCAGTGATCACCCTTCAGCCGGTTGATTAAAATTGATGATTTGCCATTTGTCTCCCCCTTCACGAATAGAACCAGGATCCGACAAAAGTAAGGGTGACCAAAGAGATAGAGAGACGTCAGTGTCTCTGTTTCACTCCGAGGGGTACTTGTCGCCCCATGATCTGCGCCCTAATCCCATCCCACTATGCAGCAAGGTCTTTGCGCGGCCCTGACATCTCCTTGGATATTTCTCCAAGGGATTGAAAGGGAAAAAATCCCTATCCAATAATTCAATAATCTTCCTCAACCCGTGCTCGATATGCACTGTTGTCCCCACATGCAAGACAGGTATACATACAGGCACGAGTGGCGAGATCACGTACATAATATTGACGGGTAGGAAGTAGGCAATAGTTCAATTGTACCTGCATATTCTCCTAGAAAGGGTAACGCAACCCTGTATGCATTCAAGGGAGATCAAACGTGGATGCAAAACATAAGTCTAAAATCAATAATTAGTAATAGGCGCGGGGGTTTTCCAAGGTTCATACAACATAGGTAAATAAAAGTATCCGGACAGCCCGAAAGCCCTAGTAGTGGATGCATTGATAGTAATGTACGGTATTGACGGAGCAGACATCAAACAAGGTTGCAGCTCCGAACCCTTGAGAATGGTCCGCTTTTTTTTTTTTTCGAAGGAAGGATATGGAAGATCCCTTGACGGATTAGAAAAGTTTGAAACACTAGGGGATGAAGTCAAGGATATTGAATTCAATAGATTTTAATTTTGTCCCCTTCGCATTTTTTCCTTTTTGGGAGTTTCGGGGGGGTTGGGTTTGGATGTGGGGACGTTCCTCCCGAAGAATATCCGATTTAGAGTGCAAACGCCGATTTGATTGGGGATTCCTTGGGGAAATTCTTCCCTTACAAACTAATAAGATTATCCATTGACTTTTGGAATTTCAAAAGGGGTAATCAGGACTTTCATATAGATTGATCCCCTGGATGAGGTGCTCCTTGCTCTATTTGACGTTTAATATTCAGGGTGGTTGGGTGGGTGGTTGGGAACATGAAAATTAACACATTTGAACATGGAATATATTAACTATGTAATATATGTACTCCGTACTATATAACGAATAGTATTAAAAGAAATCTATTTGCCTGGAGCCTGAAGAACCCGTTTCTTGGAAACCGTTTTTGGCACCCCGTTTTTACAACCCGTTTTGGATGCGATCGCTGATCTTGAAGCTTCATGGGCAGATTGCTGATCATGGCGCACTCCACTGTCATATTGTATGGTTCCGATGAGCCCCATTCCCAGATTTTGAGTGTTTTGATTTGTATACAACCTATGGAGTATAAAATTTTTTGTCTGCATGGTAGCTTCAACGTGGCAA